CCTTGTCCTGAGTCCATTGTATGCGTAATTATTTCCAGAGTCGGACCGTGGACGTGGTACATTTCCAGACGTTTTCCTGGCATCGTCAGTGATTCTCACCATTCGTAGGACTATATTACAACTCTTCAAAGAGACAAGTGTAGCCGATCCTTTGACCAAACGTGTGCTAAACAGTCATAGTATCTCCCATTCTGCCGTGGCCTATTTGCATTTCCTATCTTCTACAATCACATCTTCACTGTCAAAATATTTTACTTGCTTAATTAATTGTGGTTGGTGTGCCCTTTTTTTAGCAGTTTTCATTAGAACTCTCTGCACTCAACGCTGGTCTGCTCACCGCCCCTTATCCTTGTGCTGGGAATGTTGATCGAAGTCTGCCACATTGTTACGCAGTCCTTCCCTAGGTCTTACCTCAGTCTCTCTCTTGCCCCGTAAGATCCATCTGCCCTCTCACTGGTTCACATATTTCACTCGACACCTGCCACACAATCTGTCACTTGAGGCGTTATTGGCCCTACCCTGCGTCTGGGTGACTAATTCGAGGCTCAAGCCTCTGAGTAAGTGTAATGATCAGGCCTTTGCCAGATGAACCGCGTCTCTTATAAAAACTACTGTCAGCCCACTAGCTCCCATCGCAGCAGCGTCTATCCTGTTTCTATCTCTAATACCAAGTCTAAAACTTCTCATACCCTCGCCTCTTGTGTGCCAACCCACAAGCGTTGTGGTTCAACATTGAACTGAGTCAATGCAAGCAAGTAAAATATTGTGGCAGTGAAGGCGTGATTGGAGGAAATAGGAAATGTGAATAGGCCAGGGGAGAATGGGAGATAGCATAACTATTTATCACACGTTTTATCAAAGGAACTCACATCTCTACCGAGTTTATTTCTCGCATTGCTAGCTATGGCATACAGAAAAGGAATAATATACTTTTCTAGTTCTATACGAATTTGACATCTCTAAGTATTCCATTCTAATAGAAAAACTCCCCGTACTCTTCTTTACATAAAATTCGGACGTATTTTCATAAACCAGGTCACTATAAGATTTTGGATTAATCTAGTAGCCTGTCGGGCCACATATGCATGTATCTCGCGCCTCAATTGATCATTATATTGACTTCAATTTCCTTCAGCATGCAAAGCATAAGACACTGAAATAAGCTGAGATGCCTAAGTGAAGACAAATGGGCTGTTTAATGAATTATCGTAAAGCATGGTGTCTCGTTCTAATGATATCCACCACCCGATGGAGTAAATGTGAATACGAAGCCATAGGGGTCTACGAGCAGCGAGCCGAAGACCAAATCATACGAACTTACAGTAACACCTCTGACAGCGGAAATCCTAAATTACAAATCCATTATCATAAATGAAAGATACTATGAAATCAATTTATTTAGCTGCATTTCTTGATATAAGTAGAAACTATTCAATTCTACTCTCTTTCCACGGCCTAAACCCGTCCCGCAATCCCACTTGGTCGCATTAACATTCCTAAGATGGACTATAAAAAGTGAAATGTAAAGAATGTTCATTGTGTAATGGGAGATAACAGAATTAAAAGCACAAACCAACCCAGTATTACATTTTACACAGAATGGAAACAACGAAGCAAAGGCCGTTTATTTCTGCCATTAGTATCGTTGCAAGAATCCAGAAGAATATCATTAATCCATATTGGCAGAAGTGACGCTAAAAAGCCTGTACCTCAAAAATTATAACCGCATACGCCCAGCAATAAAATATCTCGGCAAATAAATCATGGGACACCGAAGTGCAATTTCTGGAAACAGAACAAGTTATTCATAACAAAACAGGCTTTATTAGAATCATTTCGTGTATGAACATACACACGATGTAAAATGGCAGAAGGCTTCATAAGTTAGTGACCATACAAGCCTGAAAGGACTGCTTCCATATGCAAACAATCACGACTCAGAGTCCGATTCGCGATGACATCTCACACACCCAAACTTGAAACGAGGATATTTATACCTTGTATTCGTTTGGTAGCAACCATAGACTCTTAAGTAGTTCAGATGAGCAAACCAGCACAGCAATTGCTTCAGTGGGCCTGGACAGTTTGTCTCGTTAGATCCCTCCCAAATGAGTAACGATAGTAATAATGTCCAAACCCACCTCACGTTGCGCGTTTATTATCAAATCCAACAGGTTCATTAGTTTCCAATTTCCGCCAGCATGGTAGCAGGGGTCTGGCAAGGAGAGGAATGATGAATTACACGTTAGTCCATAGCATGCAAACCACATTGACCCATAGATTAGCCACCACAATCAGTCGCTTTAGTTCACATGGTATGCAGTATTCACCACTATGCGATTTGAGCAACGACACCCATCATTATAGCCATCGCAAACTAAGGCCCTTCGTTTTTCCTCATTTAATGTATCTACTCCTTACATAGTGCATTATAAACATGAGCACCGAAACTCCTATGAAATAAGGAATGTGCAGTATAGCTGTGCCAACTGCATCATAGTAGCAGAATGTGACAAAGCCGAATCGCTGGCCTATTCCTAAATACTTTACCTACATCGCATTATTAAATGGCCACTAAGATCAACATTTATGACTATAAAACAACCTACGAATGTTTAAGTAGTCATACGAGATTCATTGTTCTGTGATTCCTTAAGTGGCACCACCCTCTTGGAGTCAACAGTTTCCGAGTAGATAAAATGAGGCCGGTTTGGTTGTGCTGCATCCACCATCTGTGGTTATTTGAGGGTAATAAAAATCGAAGCCTTTGGAGCTGCCAGATCGCCTGTATTTCATTACACCAGCGTCGATCTCCTTAGATTGTCCATAATAATCCCTAAGTTTAAGCTCAATTGTTTCAGAGATTAGGACTCCGCAAAAAGCCTGCGGGATCGTTCGCTGCTTCCATGGTTTAAACCAGAGCTTATAATCGTGTCGGGAAATATGGCGGAAAGAGGGACCTGCAAAAATTGATATTCAAAATAAATAAACAAACAAACAAATATGTAAACATTTAAACTTATTTAGGTGATTACTATACACTATATATACAATATATATATATAAACGAAAAACTTTAATTTCAAAAGGTTTTAAAAATGAGCTAGGCTATGCCCCTACCCCTTGGGTCGGCAAAATTATAATGCGTCGAAGTAGAGTAGAACTACACTGAAGATCATTTCAAAGGAAGATCTTAACTGATTTCAATTCGCTTTAAGGTGCAGTACAATCCAACCATTGATGGTCGAGGTTAATTTAAACAGCTAAGGATCGAGGCCAAATTTTATCTATTTTAAATAAATGTTAGAAAAGAATGAGGAGCGAAGAATAATGAAAAACTATAGGATAACTGAGATAGCTTCTAATTACCATTACTAAGTGGCATAGATTTAATGAATCTAGCATATTCGAAAGCTTAATTTGAATGGTGTGCAGACAGATCTAGACCTGTAAACAAATCAGGTAGACTAGTATTAGCAATAGACGCAGACATGTCCAGCAAGAGAAGCAGGTCTTTACATTAAATATCTGATAAAAGCACGTTGAAGGAAATCGGGATGACTGGAAAAAGGATGTCTGAGATGGATTACAGCAACCAGGTATCCGGAAACGTTTAACGCAATCTCACGATTTTATTGTAGCTATTTTAATCGTACAAGAAATATCGTCTTGTAAGAAAATCGGACCGAAGGATGCGAGAACGTTCATAATATTCACAATTGTATCATATACACGGCTATTTAGGATTTTTATTGAGCAGAGAATAAGGATGAGGAAGTGTCATCAAATAAGGTGGCCGTAGACGTAGTTCGATGCACGCATGACTAATGGGCAAATGAATACAACACATATTGAGCAGAGCTTTGTGAAGTCATTAAGATAAAGTAGTCAGATAAATTTCTTCATAACATATTAACCTATCAATTTTAAGATAAAAGGTGTAACTGGAAGATATTATAAATAACTAAGTGAAGCAACTATACAAGGTGGTCATGTGGGCTGGCTATGATAAGCAAGCTGTGGGGATATTTATACAAATCAGTTCAGTACTAAACCTGGTTTCTTGGGGTTTAGAACTGCAGTCATTCCAACGATTAGAACATCAGCGGTTCGTATAACTGATTATTTTACGAATGCAGTAATACTGGCATTAAAAAATCGACCACGGAAATAGATTAGCCAAGGGTAGTTCTATTCTTCAGGCAAATATCTATATCATAAATAGAGGAACCAGGAGCCGGTTTAAAACATCGAGAACAACCCAGTATAGATCGCCGTATAAGACGAAAACCTTCCACCATTTTTTCACTGTCAAAGAGATGTATAAATTAGCTGAGAAATTAACAAACAAGCCAAACAAAAAAATTCAATATAAAACGACTGAGACACAAGAGCAAGTGGCACAAGATGGCTCTAGATCAGATATTCGATACAAGAGAACCAGAAATGTCTATAGGGACGAAATTGCAAGTAAGCTGCGCATATTGCCACGAGATAGCCAAGATGTACTATTGTGTTAAGGCTCAAAAAACGCTGTGGTTAACCATATCAGTAATCCAAATGCTTCCCTAAGAGAAAATGAGAAATCGGATTTAACGAAAAAAGACTCACAAATTACTGATTAAAGCGTAAAAGGAAAGCAAGATTAGACATATGTGACTGGAGAAAATCATTAGATAAACTATCTTTTCAGATCTAATAACGTCTAATGAGCAGCAAGGCAGATAGCCACTGGAATTGTTAGGATCGATATGGGAAGCAAAAGAGGATCCAACTTATTCCATCAGAGCAATATATTACAAATTAAAAAGAGAACTAGAACT